ATCATCATTTTTTTAATATTATGCTTGTAATCTTCTCTCTCTCTCTCTCTGTGAAAGTGTATATTAATTCAAGTTTAATTGTTTTTCAAAGCTCTAGTTTGTCCTTGACCTCAGCACCTTTAGGTGATTGAGTTGAATTTGAATTTCTTAAATCTTTAACCTCAGCTCGTTTAGGTAATTGAATTGAATTCAAATTTCTCAAATCTTTGACAAGCTGTACATGATTTATTACTGTTGAATCTACTCCATGCTTGTCATATCCTGCTAAAAACGGGGCTATTAATAGAGGCATATAACAAAATTAATTAAAAAATGTTCACCAGGGCATCACTATCTGCAAATTCCCTGTTTGTAAATGATGAATATGACGGTTTTTGTGAAATCTTGTTTTCATTTGACGAAAATTGAAATTAATAACTTGGTATGTGTTATTTTATTGGAAAAATCACTGGTAACATTTGATAGTTGCATTCATACAGGAGAACGCACGGGTTGTGTTGTTGAAGTTATGACACAATTACAATTAGCATATGGTATGAATTAAATTTTGTTGTAACTCAACATTATATTTATGCTCCAAACACAGTCTTAGGTTTGCACATTATAGGATTTGCCTTTTATTTATTTATTTATTTATTTGTGTATGTTTTTGTTGTTCTGAGATGTGACACTAAATGCCCAACTATTGAGAGAATTTTGAGGCCAACATTCTGATTTTGTTTTAGGTTTTACATACAAGGACAACATGGTCCCAGTTTTGGGTGATTGTCCAGAGAGTATCTAATGATTCAGTTTTTATTCTATTCTATTTTATGTTCTGAAGTACAGTAGTAAGTAGTAATAAAAAATCAAAACCACTTTTGACACTTGGTTCTTGAGGTTCCAGTTTTGAGGAACTAGAAACTACAAGTCATGGACCTAGTAAAAAGTGTTTGACATGATTACTATTTGTCTAATAATAAGTTTATCAAAAATGCTATAATTATCACATTTATACATCATAAATTTTTTATTATCTAATGTCTCACTGTTACATTGATAGTTGGCATTAATTGTTATTGTAAGTTTATTAGTACATAAATAAATCTCCCCTCCTAAAAATTAGATTACATATAAAACATATATGTAATGTGAAGGCCATTGAAATTGCAGCCCAGAACTGGTAGCACAAGAGCAAGCTAAAATGATTGAAATGCAAAACAAAATTTGTGAAGAGATTAAGAAGTTTATGAGGATGCGCAAGGATCGGGCAGGCATGGAGGTTGATGAAGATGATTATCAATCAGAGGAATCTTATTGACAAACACTTTTGTAAGTATATTTTTCATAATTTAATTTTCAAATCGCGTCAAGCATTTAACTTTATATGTCTTGTTGTGTTGAATAAAAGTGCCAAAATTGTAAAACGCAAGCCTTAAAATTAGAAGGAAAATTGAAAACACAAGACTTAAAGGGCCTATTTGGGGGGCGAAATTGCGAAATGACTACCGAAACTATCGAAACTTGACACGGGCAGCTTGCTAAAGCGTAAATAGTCTTGTATTAACAAACGAGACCTCGATTGGATTTCCGGTTAGAAAATTAGAAGCAAAATTGTAAAACATAAGACTTAAAAGGCCCGGTCGGGGGACAAAATTGCAAAATGTCTATCGAAACTGCCAAAACTTGGCACGGTCAGCTTGCTCAAGCCTAAATAGACTTGTAGGAACAAGCGGGACCTCGATTGGATTTTCGATTAGAAAATTAGAAGGAAAATTATAAAACACAAGACTTAAAATGCCCATTTGGAGGCCGAAAATTGCGAAATGACTACCGAAACCACCGAAACTTGGCACAGACAGCATGTTCAAGCCTAAATAAACTTGTAGGAACACACGGGACCTCGATTGGATCTCCGGTTAGAAAATTAGAAGAAAAATTGTAAAACACAAGACTTAAAATGCCCGTTCGGGGGCCGAAATTACGAAATGACCACCGAAACCACCGAAACTTGGCACGGACAGCTTGTTCAAGCCTAAATAGACTTGTAGGAACAAACGGGACCTTGATTGGATCTCCGGTTAGAAAATTAAAAGGAAAATTGTAAAACACAAGACTTAAAATGCCCGTTTAGGGGCCAAAATTACGAAATGACCACCGAAACCACCGAAACTTGGCACGGACAGCTTGTTCAAGCCTAAATTGACTTGTAGAAACAAACAGGACCTCGATTGGATCTCCGGTTATAAAATTAAAAGGAAAATTGTAAAACACAAGACTTAAAAGGCCTGTTCGGGGGCTGAAATTGCGAAATGACTACCGAAACTTGGCATGGACAGCTTGTTCAAACCTAAACAGACTTGTAGGAACAAACGGGACCTCGATTGAATCTCCGGTTAGAAAATTAGAAGGAAAATTGTAAAACACAAGACTTAAAATGCCCGTTCGGGAGCCAAAATTGTGAAATGGCCACCGAAGCCACTGAAACTTTGCACGGACAGCTTGTTTAAGCCTAAATAGACTTGTAGGAACAAACGGGACCTCGATTGCATTTCTGGTTAAAAAATTAGAAGGAAAAATGTAAAACATAAGACTTAAAAGGCCCGTTCGGGGGGCCGAAATTTTGAAATGACCACCGAAACCACCAAAACTTGGCACAGACAGCTTTTTTAAGTCTAAATAGACTTGTAGGAACAAACGGGACCTCTATTGGATCTCTGGTTAGAAAATTAGAAGGAAAATTGTAAAACACAAAACTTAAAAGGCCCGTTCGAGGGCTGAAATTGCGAAATGACCACTGAAACCATCAAAACTTGGCACGGACAGCTTGTTCAAACCTAAATAGACTCGTAGGAATAAACGGGACCTCGATTGGATTTCTGGTTAGAAAATTATAAGAAAAAATGTAAAGCACAAGACTTAAAATGCCCATTCGGGGGCCGAAATTGCAAAATGACCACAGAAACTTCCGAAACTTGGCACGGGCAACTTGTTCAAGCCTAAATAGGCTTGTATGAGCAAACTTGTATGAGTAAACAGCACCCGATTGGACTTCTCGTTACAAAATTAAAATCAAAATTGTGAAATTCATATCAAGGTTTTTTTTTTTTTGTCAATCTAATATTGTTTTTTCTTTTTTCATGTGACAGATTGGCAATGGTGGAAAACAGTTTTGGGCTGTATCAGAAGATTTTATTTTGTGTTTTTGGAAATATTTTGACATAGGATTTTGGTAAATAATTTATGGATTAAATGTTTAGCATCAAAATATTTGGTTGTGTTTTTGAAAATATTTTGACATAAGATTTGGTAATGTATTTATGGGTTTGATGTTAGTAGTTTGTAAGTACTTTGGTATGTATGTTTTAGATTGTCAGAGAATTATAATTATGTTTATTGGGATTTTTCGTAGCTATTAATTTTGAATTAGTATGAATGTCTTGCACAGGTATATTATTATTTACATTACATTTGTGTATATATTGTGCACAGGAAAACAGGTGTTTTGGATTATTTTGAACAGGAAAATTATTAAAATCAAAATTTGTGTAGTGAATTTTTAGTGACATGTGGTATTTTGGTTGTTGTTAATATATTTGGCGACAAATTATTGTTTTTGTCGCTAAAAGTTAGTGGTTATTCCAAAAACTTTTAGCAACCAAAACTTACTCGTCGCTAAAAACGTGATTTTTAGCGACCAAATTAATTTTGTCGTTAAATAGTACTTTTGGCGACGCATTTATTTGTCGCTAAAACTACATAACCTATCCAAATTTTAACCTTTTAGCGACAAATTGTAATTTTATAGTGACAAAATATATGATTTTTGGCGACAAATTTTGCTTGTCGCTAAATGTCTATATACGGTGACAATTTCTGATTTTGTCGCCAATACGTTTAGTGCCAGGCTTTTGGCGACCAATTGTATACTTGTCGCCGATTCGTTTGGCGACGAAATTTGTACTTTTGGCGACCAATTTTTGGGTCGCCAAATGTGTTTTTTGTTGTAGTGTGCTAACTCTGGTCCGATGCTTGATCACCTACATATATATAATAAACAGTGAGCTAGAGCCCAGTGAATAACAAGTGTGTAAAGAGGTTAAGAATGATGTCCTTCAATCCTTGAAACAATCGATTAGCATTAGAACATTTTCAATCAATATAATTTGTCGATCAATCATTCGATTTAATCAATTCAATCAATCAATAATTATATAAGTCGTACGTGGTACATCCGATAACAACGATACACTTGGTCTTAAAAGACTGAACAATCAATTGATGGCCATCATACAATAACAATAGTTCCAAGATTTGGAATTGATAGAGATCTCTGTAACAATAACGGTAACAATAACGATATCAATATCAATAACAATCACAATACGCTATGGATGCCACGAATATAATTCAAAATAAGATCATTATTCAATCGACAAGAAGTATAATTTCAGAAAGCAATATGGTTTATCAATTTGAAAATAAATACGATTGAATATATCTTTACAACATTGTTACTCACAGTGGGCTCCTTGATACACGTACTATTTATTCGGTGTCCGACCTAGACAAATAAATTCAAGCATAACGATACAATTACATTCAATCCTTAGCCAATACCATTGATTCGATTGTTTACTTATTCAATTACCATTCGTCTTTATTCGTGCGGTTCTAATGTTTTATTTATTCATTCTAATGCACTCGTGAGATGCAAATGATTGTGAAAACATTTTAAAACCATGTAATCGGAGGCCCGGGAGGTGAAAGAGAGAAGCGAAAAACAAGCCGGGTCTTACCAAAATGGGCGCACGTGCGGGGCTGTTGCAGAAACAGTCCGAAAAACAGCTCTGTTTGAGCAGTGCGTTTCCTTGCCAAAATAAGTTTATTTTCATGCAATTCATTCCCAAAAACTCATAGAAACATGTTGGACTTAAACCTTGTCCATGAAACACAAGGTAAAACTTAGAAACAATAACCAAATTTCTAAGAAAGAAATCAAACCCTCACTTGGGTATATAGTTGCATAAAGCATGTAAGTGTAAACTTTTAAACTCAAACTTCCATCCTCAAACACAAGTGTTTCCAATAAAAAAAATCAAATAAACTTTTGAAATAAAATGTATAGACATAGATATACATATTTGAACTTTAAAACTTTACATCCCATGGAATTTGCAAATTGAAAACCCATGCAAGAAGAAATGAGTATGAACACAACAAAATCATGCATGCTCAAAACTAGAATTAATTCTTTCAATTGGTTAATCAAAGACTCCAAAACTATTATAAACTATGAACCATGTGGTCCAAACTTTATGATGAAAGCTCTTTAAAGCTTAGAGAATTCATGAAGTTTATGCAAGAAAATGTATATATAAACAAAGATATCATACTCTGTTAGCTCGGTCAAAGCTTGCTGTAGTTAGCTCGGTCTCAACAGGCAAAATCGAGGTGCAAGTGAACAAGAGCCGAGCTATGAGTTGCATATGAAGGCGCTGGATTAAGCATAACAAAGGGCTAGTGTTAGCTCGGTCATACTGACATCTAACCGAGGTAAAACCATCTCACTTGGTTTAAGCAGTGAGGGAGGTGTGGAAGGATAAGCATTATTTTTCAGGAATGTGATTCCTAAGAGGACTCTACCTTAAGGGGTAAGAGTCCTACTAGGATTATGCCACGCGGAACCTATAAAAGCTCACAACATAACCTATGCATAGGTAACAGACCTTTGATTCTCGGAATACACAGAGCTTTTGTCTATTTGTCTATTTTACTGACTTAGGCATTGGAGAGGTATCCGGCACACACCCGCCGGCTAGCTCACGTTTGTGTTTTCAGGGAGTAAAGCGACGGCGTTTGGAAAGGCACAAACTTGATCGACAGGATTCTATGAGAAGATTATTTCGTGCTCGTACAATTGGCGCCGTTTGTGGGAATACACAAAGAACAAAACCTCTTGATCAAACTTTCCTCTCTAGTTGGAAACAATGGCGCACAATGAAGACTTGCCACAATCAGCTATTGATAGGCAAACCCCGGAGGGGGGTGGGAGGAGCGAAGGTTTACCTTCTATCCCTCCCATGGCAGATTTAGAACCCCAACGACAGAACCCCCGGGGGGATGTAAAGGGGAGATGGGGCGACAGTCTCCGTCGCTCTCAACGTCCTGAAAGATAGAGGCGGAGGATGGACTCTCAAGTTCTGGAGGATCGCGTGAAAGAGCAGGATGAGTTAATAAAGAGGATGACGGCAGACATGGAGTCAATGAAGTGCCAGATAAAAGGAAGAGGGGCGGCGACAGGAGAGGGGCGCAAAGGCAACACACCCCCTCGCCACTCGAAAGATCGTGGTAGGCATACCGCACCATCACAAGCAGAAAGTAGGAGTCTTAGAACAGGCGACACTCAATCGCGGACTTCTAGGACTTGTTACTCCAGGTCTGAGAGAATGAGAACTGAGAGGTCATGTACTAAGGGAAGCACCTATCGGCCCTTGCACACGCACCAGACGTCATCTAGGCACACGGAGTTGCCTAGATCATCTGACTTGCGAACTGTGCTTGAAGAAAGGGTTCGATGGAAGGAGGACACCAGGGCTCGCGACCCGCGTAGAGTTTTAGCCCTTCAGTGGTTAGCCCTTCGGATACATGGTAGCGTCGAGGTAGGAATGCTAATGTCGTGTCTTGTTTACGAACCAGCAGACAAAGTATTAGCAAGGTTACAAAGATCGTTGTTCGTTCCAGAAATTGAGAACGCACCATTACCATCAGGCTTCCACCAGTCCAAATTCACCACTTATGAGGGGAAGTCCAACCCCTACATGCACCTGAGCCACTTCTGCCAGGTTATGGCAGTATACCGGCGAAACGAGGCTTTAATGTGCATTCTATTTCTATCCAACCTTGGCGACCAAGGTCTAACCTGGTTCGAAAGGCTACCAGAAGGCAGCATCGCCTCCTGGGCACAATTGGTAGAGGCGTTCGTGACTAGGTTTAGAACGAACACCAAGACACCAGTGGAGATCGATCAGCTACTCTCCATTGACATGGGCGACAAGGAGACGTTGAGATCCTACAACAGTCACTGCTAGGAAACCTTCAACCAGATTTGGGATTGCCCTACAAACCTCGCCATTGCACAATACAAACAGGGCCTGCCAGTCGGTAACAAATTGTGAGACTCAATTACTATGACGTCACCCCTTACGATGGAGGCCTTAATGGAGAGAGTGCACCAATATATTCGCATAGAGGAAGATAGCGCCCGTGCTAAGGCAAAATCCGGCACAACAACAATGCCAGATAAAAAGACTACAGCAAAAGTCAACACGGTAGAGCAACCTAACAGGAATAGGCGAGGCAGGCGGGCCAACAGAGAGGACCCAGACAAAAGGAGGTTAAGAGTCCGCACTGCCATTACCACAGTGTTCAAAAAACCAATCTACCGAATTCTCAGTGAGATACGCAATGAACCTTTCGTCCGATGGCCAGCAAAGTTGGGAGAAGCACAAAAAGACTATGACGAGAGGTCCCAGTGCACCTTCCATGATGAAAAAAGGCACCGCACTAAAAATTGCACGCCGTTGAGGCAGCATTTGGAGGAGTTAGTGGTAGCTCGGCACCTGGACCAGTACATAGAAGGATGAACACAACTAGCCCGAGAACCACAACAACCCAAACGGGATGCCAGTCGACGCTCCACCTCAAGGCGTGATTAACGTAATACATGGGATATGCGAACCTGAGCGGGTATATGAGCTCAGGGGGATGATCAAAAAGGCTGAGCACTTGAGGGAGGTATTAAGTACACAACCTGCCATCAAAAAGGGGAGAACAGAGGCCACAAATGTCATATCTTTTTCAGACAAAGATTTAGCAAGAATATTTTGCCCTCATAATGATGCACTGGTTGTCACTCTACGCGTCAAGAATTTCGACATCAAATGGATTTTGATCGACCAAGGAAGTACATGTGAGATAATGTATTATGAAACCTTCAAACAACTGAAACTGAAGGACAAAGACTTGGCACCTACAACATCTCCCCTAATCGGATTCAACTCAATGCCAGAGTGGCCAATGGACAAGATAATCCTCCCAATCAAGGCAGGAACCATGACGAAACATGTGGAATTTTGGGTATTAAAAGTCCCTTCCACTTACAACATAATCTTGGAAAGGACATGGTTGCACGCCATGCGTTCGGTAGCGTCAACCTACCATCAAGTATTGCGGTTCCCCAACGAAGCCGGAGTAATTGAGGAGGTCTTTGGAGACCAAATTATGTCCAAACAGTGCTTCG